TTCTCGAAATTCTTGAATTTTTTTTACGGGAGTTTCGTAAACAGTTGACTATAAATACCGTCCATAAATAACAATACAATAAATGTAAGACCTGAAAACGTGCAATTCAGTTTATATTCATAAGGACCTTTATTACATTAAAAATGATTTTCTCAACAATTTATTGAGCAAATGTAATTTTATTTTAAATCATCAAAATTTACCTCAATGTCAAGTACAATACCGTGTAGAAAAAGTTATGTAATGTCATTTAAAAAATTAGAAGGGACTTCAACTTTTTGTTGAAAAAATAGTATTTTTGATATTTCTTGACGATGAAGCATTAATAATTTTGTCACACTATCGGAAGTATTTGAATAATCGTGACGATCGTTACAATAAATACTCTGTATATTGTTGTGGTCAAGAAAATACTTGGGAACATATTTTATATAATAGACATTATTACATGGGAAATATATAAATAGATTTATTAAAATTAGACAAGTATTACAGCAACACAATGTTTATTGTTGCCTTGAGATCGATTTTTTCGAGAACTAACTTTTTCCAACCAAATACTTTCATCGTCCTCTTGGAACTTTTACACGATCTTCCAGAACGATCGAATTGTACGATGTCTACTCAGCGGCACTAATAAAAAAAACAAATCTATATTTTGCCTCTGAAAATCGACATTGTCTTTGCGATCGTGTAGATTCTCTTTTTAAATATATTATATTTATAATCCAATCGTAAAAGCGTTCACGTGGGTTAATTTCGAATCAGAAACGATCAAAATGAGCGATATTTAATTTATTATTTATATTAAATATATTTCCAGTTAAATTATTATTATTAGTTGAATATGATTGTTTAATAAAATGAAATTTATAGTTTAATAAAATGAAATTTGTTTTTTTTTCTTTTAAAACGAGAATAATTTAGTAAAGTGAAGGACTTATCTATGATAAGTTGATATTGAATAATAATAAATAAAACAAAATAAATCTATTTGTCAGGTCATTGGAAAATTTAACAAATTTTGCTGGTGCCGAGGATTGGGATGACGTAGCAGCCGGTGTTTTGGGTTTCAGTTCGAATAAGCTTGGACGTCGTATGGCGGATGCCTGCCTTCGTGATTTGAAAAAAAATTTTCGTGGTAATGATTGGGGTAACAATGGACCTGGTGTTATCACGAGAATTTTACAAAAAATATGTTCTACCAAATACGTAAGTACATATTCCACATTTTGCGAGAACAAAAGATTTATAAACTTATACAAAAAAAAAAAAAAAAATATATATATATATATATATAATTTATAATTAAGAAATTTAGTGGAAAAAATGCACTTCTATAAAAATATCATTTTGTAATACAAGTTTTAAAAATTTTCACTTTTGTATATCTCCGTAATTTTACTTGTAATTTCTTTATTATTGTAGTAATTTAATTTTTGATAGGTAAGCAGTCCTTCAGTACTACTACAGAAAAAATATTATTTTCGATAGAAGTATAAGTGTCCTTTTCCCATAAATTGAAAAATAAAAAAAATTATACTACAGTCTTCATTCATTATTTATTATTAAATAATAAATACAACTCTTTAAAAAGCAACTCTTTAAAAAGCAACTCTTTAAAAAATATTAAAAAATATATTAAGAAATAAAAAATATAAGGAACAAAATATTTAATATTAGTATATTAGATTTTGAATCATAGTCATTATTATTTTCATTCTTTTCATTTGTCTTTTTCATTTGTCTAATGTTTTGATCTTTTTTATTTCTCAAATATTTCATTAAATTTTTTAAGTTTTTTAATTTTTCTGATTTAACATTAAGTTACAGGTTAGAAATACAAATTTAAATTCAAACTGTCATGTCCTTTTTTCAAAAAAAATGAGGGAGCTAAATAATCCTTTGTAAGATTCAGCAACAAGTAATGTTTTCGAAGTCAAATATTTTAACTGATAGTAATTTCATAAGGTAAACTTATCAATTCTATTCTGAATAGATTTTTTTAAAAAACCATTTAATTCTTTTTCTCAAGCCTTTATTAAGCTCGCACTTCCGATAGTAACAAAAGGTGGATTTCTTTTATATTTCTCCATGATTTTAAGATAAACATATAAGAGTCTTTATTTTATATTTAAAATAAACATTTAAAAGTTTTTATTTTAATCTCTTTTACAGGTTATATAATAAAATTTGTAGCACTTGTTCATAGGCTGAGAATTAAAGTCCGTAGCTCCAATTGCAAAATGTAATTTTTATATAAAAGAAGAGTATTTTTACAGATAGAAATAATTTAATGAAAAAGCGCACTTCTTAAAAATGTCCTTTTTCCATTCAACTCTTCGATTAAAATAAGAGAAAAAATAAAATAAAATATATATTTTTCTCCGAACTCAAGGAGAATATTTTTACAAAATGTAATACTACAAAATACAATTTTTTATAAACAAATTTTCAATCCTTTGGATTGTATCAGATAGTTTGGGATATTTATTATTAGTGTGTAATAAAATCATATTGTCGTATCAAATTCAAATGCACGAACTAACTCAATACTCTAGTGCTTATGGTAAATTTATTTGAATTCTACCCTATTAAGTTCTTACATATGCACGTAGTTCATCGATCCAAGAGTCTACGATGATAAATCGATTAGGATTAAAATTTAACGGGTCTTTATTTCCAACAGACTCGAGATATGTCGGTGTCACGTTGCCACGGCTTCAAAGTTTTTTCACCTTCTGCTTTCTATCCGATTCATTACAAAAAGTGGACAAAATATTTTGAGGAGAAGAACATTAATTCAACGATGGAGATATTGAAACAAGCTCGGGTGATACACGTGTGGAACAAACTCAGTAAATCGAAGAAAATTCATGTGAATAGCAACGTTCCTTACGTCGTTATAGCTCGTAAATATTGTCCGAAAGTATTTTCGAATTGTGGTAATACCTTTTAAAAAATCGGACAAGAAATCAAGGAAGTGAATTTTAACATATCGGTGACTGTTTTAATACATTTATTATCTCGTTTACTTTATTTTCATAACTTTTATTAACAGTTTATTTTTTTTACAATTTATATATTTTTTGTTTATATAACGAAGAGATAAATATGATATAAACATAGAAAAAAAAGAAAACGTAAAATTAATTCTTCTTTTATAATTCTTTTGTGTTTCAACGAACGTAATTTTATTATAATTAATTGTTTTTACAATATTAATTAACATTCGACAAATTAATAGATCTTTTACGTTTGTACAAATTTAAAAAAAGTTTTTCAATTTTATGAAGAATTAATTTACCTTGTAATTTCAAGAGATAATGAAGTACACACATATCAAACAATAGATTTAAGTTTATAATATCAAAGAAATAGGACGTTGATGTGTGCGTTATTATTATCCAAAGAACAATAATAACTTATTGCAGATATAGTTACATATCTATATATACGTAGTTATACGTGTATAGTTCGTATATTAGTATTAACATAAATATCATTAGATGAGAAAGATAGAAAGAAAATAAAAAAGAAGGAGAGGAATGTATTTCTTGTAAGTAATAATCATGATTGTGATTATTTGTCACGATATCATATCATATCATTTAGAAAAGCAATGAATTATTAAGAATCTGAAATGTATTTTATCGATATGAAATGTTTATTCAAAGTTGACAATTTTACAAACTTTTTACATGCAAGAAGTGGAAACTTTTCTGTGACACAAACAAAAAAGAAAATAAATGAATAAAAATAAAATAAAATAAAGTAAAATAAAATAAGAATATTGAAAAAGAAAGAAAGATAATAGATATGGGATACAATAATAATATTCAAGGAGATAATAAATAATGGACTTAACATGTTAAACAGAAAAAATTTTCATGGATGTGTATGAAAATTATTTTAATTAAAAATGAAATGATTAGGGAATGAAGACAAGAACGTTTAGATATAAGTTAATAAATTGTAAAATGAATAATTAGAACATATAATGTTTTTTTTTTAATTGGAATGGGAAAGAAATAATTAATTTATTCTTTTATTAGAAGAGAAATTAAATTTTCAAATTGAATGGTCAACAAATTAAAATTAAAGTGTGTTTTGGCACGTGATTGTTAATTAATTGAATAGAATCTATGTATGTGAGTAGATATTTTCAAATAAATACAAAATATTATTATACGATAGATTTGTGAAAAATAGATATGAAAATATGTGATGGCATAACGTTTTTATAGAGAATCGATTTTCATTGTGTCGTCCTAATAAATACAAACAATTAAGAAAGGAAAAGGATGACAGATTAATAGCAAATTTGAAAAAGTAAGAAAGAAAAATATTAATAAGTGTGACAATCCCCTTCTACGTTTCTCATATATAATTATCATACGAAAAAAGTTAATGTTCATCCTTATTAATTGTAAGATTACGATCAACTAATAACATATTATAGAAGTAGAATAGTACGATTTATTATACCGTTTATTTTCGATTCATCATTAGTTTTAAAATTATTTAATTTACCAAAATTTTTAATCAATTTAAAATTTTAGTATCATTGTATTTTTTTATTGAATGTTCAGCAAAACTTTATTTATTTCACATTAGAATATCGTTGCGCGAAGAACAATCTTTAAAAATCTCTTTTCTAAGCAAAACAAGAAAAAAAAGAAAAACAAAGAATAATTTATTACGTTAAGAAATTTAATTGAAATAAAAAAAAAAAATATATATATATATATATATATATATAGACATAAACGTCGTATTTTAACGTGCCATTCGTGTCATCGATTATTGGACATATAAACCGCTTGCTGTTTATCAATAGCGCTTATGACTTTCGTGAAAAATCAATAGTGATAATATATCAGTATTAGACCAATAATCGAACCATGTTCCTAAAGAGCTTGACACAGTGTATAACTGTAAAACGAAATAAAATTAAAATCTTGTTTCCTGTTTTCTAAAACTCTATGTTTTTCGTAAATAAATAAAGAGAGAGTTCCTTTTGGATATAATGCGATTATGTTTAATCTTTCGAACCTAACGATATCTTTTTTCTTTTATTTTCTGAAACGTATGAAAATAACAATACATTAAACCCATTTGCTTCTCTAAGTGGGATAATCCACACATCACGATTTTTCAATTATCATCAGTCATGGAATATTCTGCTCTCGACAATATTCTCCTATCACCGTAAAATATTTTGAATGAGTGCCTTATGAGCAATATATGCAGAAGGATTTCGAGGTTTAGAAATTATAAAACTTGGTTATCATTAAGTTTTTTCTTATTCATTGTCATTTAGACCTTTTTAATCGCTATTAAAACATTGGCTATTTCTAATATAAATACAAATTTTACAAATAACTTAATTTTATAACTTTAAATAAAATAAAATTTAATTAACACAATGAATGGCGAACATTTTTCCGATTCGGAGTTTAATATGGAAATAGCAGAAAGTCGAAAGCTTATGCGTTCTATTCCATCCAGTGATAGCAATAAAGATGATCAGTATAATACTTGTGTAAATGGAGATTTTCTTTGAAAGCAAGAAAATCTTACACCAAAAGTACATAATTTATTCGTCATAAGTAGTGCAACAGTCAACACTGCAGATAGGTGTAGGAAAGAAGTTTTTAAATTGTTTTTCAATAACGAATTAGCTTAAAAAATTATACTGGAGACAAAGTAATATGGAGCTACAAACGGAAACTTTATAAAAATTAAGGAAGATGAACTAAAAGTATATTAAATGTTAAATATTTTAATGAGTATAATTCAAAAAACCTACTATACAAAGTTATTGGAGTATAAATAAAAGTACAGAAATTCCATATTTCAAGGACATTATATCCGCGCAAAAGATTCCTAGACATCCACAAATTTACCATTGTCAACAATAATTATATTTCTAATGATCTTAATTGATAAAAATTAGAAAACTTTCCGATATGATCGCTAAAAATTTCATATGTACATATGTATAAACTGTATAGAAAATATTTCCATCAGTGAGTCAATAATGCAATGTAGAAACTATTTGAATTATATACAATTCATTTGAACCAAAAGAACGAGATTTGGTATCAAATTTTATAAATTATGTGATCCTTAAGGAAAATATATACATAATTTCAAAATATACATTGGAAAAGACAAAGTTAATGATTCTGGATCTACTAGTATAAATATCGTGATGAATTTAATGAAAGAGAGTGAACTATTACATCAAGGATACTGTTTTTATATAGATAACTGATTCAGTTCACCGACTTTATATCATGAATTGTATAATATGCAAAGAAATATTAAAATTTTGAAACCAACAGCAGTAATCAATTATAATAAAAATAAGGATGGAATTAATGTATGGAACTAGATGTTAAATAAATTTTACATATGTAAGGAAGGATACAAAAAATATTTTTTTATTTTGTGAATATAGTGCAGTTAAATAGTTATATCATCTTCAAAAACAATAAAAAGGATCGAGCTTTACACATTTATAAGCATAAACTAGTGAAAGAAATTATTGTCAAACATTCAGAAAAATAGAAGGATAAGAGAGATAAATGATTTCATAACAAAATGCATTAGCTAACACTTTCTCAAAAGAATATCTCCAACGGAGGCATAAGAAATAAAAATATTAAAGTAATGCAATTAATGTTTATCTAAGTAAAAGAGAAGCTGTTTTTAAATGTGATATTTACAATGTACTTTTATGTATAGATAATTCTAAAAATTATCATACTAATTAAAAAAATCTACTAAACTATCTAAATTTATTTATTCTACAAACACATAATATTATCTTTTGTTTAATTATTACAAGAAATTTCTAAGTAAAATCAATAATAAACAAAAACTATTATTGTACGGTTTTGCGCGGTTATACGAGCCGGGTATTAATTGAACGTCTCGGATGAATAATATTAGTAAGCGTATTCAGAAGTGTGATATAAATGGGTTGATAATAATAATAATAATAATAATAATAATAATAATAATAATAATAATAATAATAATAATAATAATAATAATAATAATAATAATAATAATAATAATAATAATAATAATAATAATAATAATAATAATAATAATAATAATAATAATAATAATAATAATAATAATAATAATAATAATAATAATAATAATAATAATAATAATAATAATAATAATAATAATAATAATAATAATAATAATAATAATAATAATAATAATAATAATAATAATAATAATAATAATAATAATAATAATAATAATAATAATAATAATAATAATAATAATAATAATAATAATAATAATAATAATAATAATAATAATAATAATAATAATAATAATGATAATAATAATAATAATGAATAATGATAATGATAATGATAATGATATAATGATAATGATAATGATAATGATAATGATAATGATAATGATAATGATAATGATAATGATAATGATAATGATAATGATAATGATAAT